GAAGGGACAACCGGGCTGCTATGGTGACCATCTGCAGAATACACAAGGACGGGAAGGTAGACTGACTGTGGTCTGGGACCCCAGATTGCTGAACCATCAGCAATGAATAAATGCTACAGGCTGTTAGAGTTGGGTTCAAATCAGGAAGCCCACTGGGAGGAGCGAGTTCCCTGTCATGGGAGGTGTGTAAGCAGAGGCTGCGCCTCCACCCACCTGGGATGGGGTTGGCAGGATTTCTGCATGGAATGAAACTCTCCTCCAGCCCTGAAACTCTAAGAGAAGGAGATGAAGAAGAGTAAGGGAAGGGAGGGGGAGCAAAACAGGGCCCAAGGCAAGAAGGGAGACGCCACAATAGCAGCTGCTGAAACAGCAGCTCAAGATGGAAACATGCCCTTATTTGTGGGGAATTTGTTTCAGCAAATGAGAGACAGTGATGATGCTCAGGCTGTCTCCTGAAATGAATACCATCTGGAAAAAAATACCAAATTTAACAGGACCAAATTTTTTTTCCATTTAATTAACTAAGCCAAATTTTGTGCCCATTCTGATTTATCTATTTAGAAAGAAGCTCCTTATTCCCCGGAACCAGGCCACCGCTCCCACCAGATGAAAGCTCATGACCACAGAGAAGTTCCACGTCTGAGGCTTTTTCATAAAACAATGTTTATTGTCAAATATATCAGTTATACACAGAATGGATTAAATGTGTAGGTACAATTTATATGATAAACACTAACTTAGCACCCAAGTACTCACCTTAAGAACTAGAATATTACTAGAACCTTAGATGGCCCCTATGTGTCCCTGGGAGTAATCACTGTTTCAAATTTCAGGTTAATTTTTCCCTTGCTTTTCTTTAAAATCACCCATATATGTATCCCTAAGTAATATATTATTTCGTTTTGATCATCTGTGACCTTAAGATAAATGGACTCATACTGCACACATCCTTCTGTGACTTTCTTCTTTCACTATTAATTGGAGATTCATTTACACTGCTGTGTAGTTACATTTAAATTGTTTTTAATCTCTATATTATCCCACCCAATGAATATCAATAATTTTTGATTGACTTGTGGATTGGGAAGGTTTTCTTTCTTGATTTCCAAAAGTAGACTGGTTTTATAGCTATCTATTGTCATTGATTCCTAAATTAATTTTATTGTAGTTTTTATCATATTATATTGTGAGTTATTTTATCATATAATTTTATTATAAGACTAGGATAGAGTCTAATGATATACATCCTTTGAAATTTGTTGAGCTAGCCTTAGGAACTAACGTGGTCATTTTTCATAAGCGTTTATGTGCCCTTGAAAAAAATAAATATGCTCCTATTGTTGGGTCCAGTGTTCTCTACATAGCCACTTGATCAAGTTTGTTATACATACCATGAAATCTTTTAAGCATTTTCTTATTTTTATCTACTTGATTTATAAGTTATTGCAAGCAATAATTTTAACTATCCCATTATAATAATAAACTTTCATATTTTTTGTCTGTCAATTCTTGCTATAAATATTTTAGTCCATGTTATTAATATATAAAGATGAGAATTTTTCTGTCTCCCTGGTGAATTAACTCTTTTTAAAATTCTTCTGAACTCAATATGTCCTTTCCATTTTTCTTTTCTTTTCTTTTTTTTCATTTGCCTAGAACATATTTTTCCATCCTTTGACTTTTGATCTCTCTGTATCCTTATGGGTTTTTTGTGTGTGTCTTCTGTAAATAGCATATGGTTAAATTTTATTTTAATATCTGTCTTTTAACTAGAGAGTTTAGTCCATTTACGTTATAGCGATTGATGATCAATTTGAATTTATTTCCACCATCTTATAATGTTTTCTTATTTGACCTATATTTTTTGCTTCTTTTCTCCTCATCTTTGCTTGTCTTCTTTTTATCTGTGTATTAATTAAATATGACTACAATAATACTGCATAACAGACGATCCAAAATCTCAGAGGCTTACAACAACAAAGACGTATTTTTCACTCTCAGGTCTGAGGTTGGCTACAGCTCTACCTGATCTTTTCATTATTCCACATTGTGGGTATATTCCAAGACTATTCTCACTGGGGCCAGGCTGAAGCAGCAGAGTCTATCTGGGGCAAGCGGCAGTGGCAGAAACACATGAGACAAAGCCAAATTGGGCAAGGACATTTATAGCCTCAGTGTTACATCTACTCACATTCTATTGGCTAAAGCAAATCACATGGTCAAGCTCAATATCAATGAAGCGTGGAACTGCACTCCTGCCATGAATATTTTCTGCACAATAATACGTTCACCATGAGTGATTGAAATTTTTAGGGTTTCTCTCTCTCTCTTTCTTTTCATTTCATTTTCCCACTTCATCCCCATTTGTTTGAGTTATAGATTATATGTCTATACTATTAGTCATTATGTTAGCTATATCCATACTTAATAAATTCTAAAGTTAATTAATTTCCTCCTCCTACAAAATATGAGACCCCTCGAACTCTTTAATTTAGATATTCTCCTTCCAATTTACATGCTATTTTTGACTAGCATTTTAGTACTAAACTGTGTTTCCTACACACATTAGACATTATTTTATACAGTCAGTGTTTATTTTTACCCTCACATTTATCATTGTTTTTATTCCTCATTCCTTTTTGCATCTCGGTTGTTTATCCAGAGACCACACTCATTCTTCAAGTACAACCAAATTTCATTTCATAAAGGTCTGGCTGAACTTTTGTTTATCTGAAAATGTCTCCACTCACACTGAATATAGAATTGAATCATTCATTCAATGTTTATTTGGGGGCCTATGTGCCAGAACCCATTCTAGACATTTGGGACAACTCAATGAACAAAATTCAGAAACTTCCCACTCTTGTGGGCCTTGCATTCTAGAAGAGAGAGTAGGAAGAATAAATAAAATAGACAAATCATGTATTTTATATATGAAAGTGAAAAGCCTTGTCAAAAAGAAAAGTAGAATAGGATAAGGGAGATCATAAATGCTTATGGAGAGAGGGCATATGACAGTATTAAAGAAGCCAGTCAGAATAGACCTCACTGAGAAGGCAACATGTGGGCAAACACTTGTGAATATCTGAGTGGTGTGAGTCATTCCAGGTGGAGTGAAGAGCTGGTGCAAAAAGCCCTGAGATGAGAGTGTGCTTGGCATGTTC